TTAATAATAGACTGTCTCCATTCAGTATGTCAATACTCGAAAACAACCTTTTTCGTAGTTTAGATTTCTAAAAGTGACCATAATTTTCCTTAATTTTTAACTTGTAAACAACTTTCTCTTTGTGATGAACAATATTTTCAGTAATAATTCACTTTTAAATGAATTGAAAACACAGAACGGTATCAGTTTTCTCATACTAAACGACCCTTATCATTCTCTGTTAAGAAGAGATTAAGTTTCACGTCAGTTAGCTGATAGCTTCACTAGTAGGTCCCCATCTCTATCAGTAAACCTACTCCTAGTTTTATATTCACATGTAATACGTGTACACACATAATTTTCAACATAAACTTTTGCCTCCTACACATTTTCTCAACATACAAGAAGTTATTCGTTCTTTTGCAGATATAATCCGGTAGAAGTGCTTCAGTTGTAACTTATTTCGTATCTTCTCATTAGTCAATTAATTATGCATGTGAATTATTATTCATATACAAAAAATTTGATGATATCATGTCCATATATACAAATACACATAGTATTGCTATAAATTTTTCTTATTAAATAGCACGTGCTAGTCACAGAAGTTAATTGTTAGATATGGTATAGATTACTTAGTCTTCTTTTACATTACTCATTATATAAATGCTTTATCTAAAATGGTCCCCATATTGATATACAATCTTTTTCCAATGATAATATACTTGATATAAAGTCATGATAGCATCATTTTTTATTTTATTTACAAACACCATTTTTATGTACTTTAAAGAAAATGAGAATATGTACTTGGTTGTGTTCCGAATCATATAATTTCACTTCCACATATTAATAAAGAGGTCATGGTCTTTGTTTATAGGTGGCAAAATGGTTACACTAACACTAAATTCGATAGGAATATGAAAAGTGGTATTTCACTCTCACCAGCATAATTTTGATCCTTCTTTCTTAGGATAAAAGTACAATGAAAGCCTTAAAACTTGTCAATTGAGTTCAAAAACTTTCAAAAAATGTAATTAAATTTTAAAACTTGTTACGAAAGTGCAATCGAGTTCTGAAACTTTCAAAAAGTACAATCAAGTCCTAAAACTTATCACAAAAGTGCAATCAAGTTCTAAAATATTCAAAAAGTGTAATCAACGGAGAGTCTTGATTGGACCGATTTAATAAGTTTTAGGACTTGATTACACTTTTTGAAAGTTTTATGATTTAATTACACTTTCGTGATAAGTTCAGGATTTAATTATGTTTTTTGAAATTTTTAGGACTTTTAATGTATTTATTTCTTCTTTCTTTCTTTTCTTTATCTGAACCCAAGCACGGGAGGAAGGCTTCGAAATTTTGACAAAATTAACCAAGCCAATTTCAAATGAAAAAAAAAAAAATTGTTGAACAAAATAAATTTCAACAAAAAATTATCATCTCCAATTAGCCGCAACATTTGACCAAATCAATGGGAGCATGATCCTTCTAATGTACCTTTGTCCAATAATTCCCCCGACATAGGCGCCCAACACTTTCAATTCAATGGGACGATTTATGTACAAACCTCACTCATACACATCCCCATGATGAGACATTCGGGTGATATCTTTTTCATAGGCTCATATCTTTATTTGTGATACAAATTATCCAAAAAAAAAAACAAAAAAATGAAGATGAACCCTTCGAGCACAAAGGACAAATGCACATCCGTCCAATTTTTATAAATTTATTTTATTTTCGACACAACTTGTTTCATGAGGTGTTGGGAACTTGGGAGAATGTAATCGATCAATCACCAAGACAAGAAGATAAAGATGTGTATGTATGTGTGTGATGATGTTATTGACTGGTAACTTGCCGCACTCAGTCCTACTTGCGTTCGAGGATTATTCTTTCCATTTTGCATTTCTGGACATGGATGCATTAGAAAGATTTTACTTGCAAGTGCTAGACTATGCCAACTCAATATAAATACTGTACTTTTTTCCTTTATTTATTATGTGAGAAACCCATTTTAGACAAATAAATGCAAGTTCATCAAACGCCCTACGAGAATATTTATAACGCAATATTGATAACCCGATTTATTGTTTCCAATCTTTGGTGTTCTTGCATTTTCCACGCTACTTAAATTGCGAAACATATAATTGCATCTGTCATCTATCAATCAATGTCAATAAAAAATGGTTTGAGGAATTGCATGATGTAGCAAAGGAACATGGAACAAATTCTGCTGCTCGATCTTGGGCAAAAAATATCTTTGTTTAGAGCATATTCTTACGATAGATATGTCTCTTCTCTTTGCGACTCTTTTTAAGGTATCTTCCACTTTTTCTTATTCTCTAATTTTAAACACGAAACTGGCAAATGGTTGTCCTTCTTGAAGCCTAATTCTATACGGATAAACATACGGCCATGAGTGGCCATGAGTGATGAATGACCTTCCCGGTGTGGTATTATTTATATTCAACAAGTTGGACAAGAAAAAGCCACCACTTACAGATCTTTGGCCTGCTTTTTCTCTTCTTTTTCCCCCCCGCTCAAAGTACTCATATCTGATTGAGATCATATGATGTGATTAATTGGGGGGACCCTTCACCTTTATCTGCCTTCATGCAAATTCATTAATTGTTGCCTCGTGTGGCTAGAAATTTGCCAGAAGCTGCTCCTAGCAATTTGGACATTTCCACTTAAGCCAAGACCCTCGAGAGTATTCACTTTAACCACGCAAGATGATGATCATTTGAAGGTGGTCTTACTTATGAATAGCTTAATAAAGTCTCTCTCACCCCGCCTGATGCGTGGAACTGTGGAACATTACACTTCCACTGCTCAAAGAACCGACGGACTTGATGTTGGCTCATACCCCGGCTATACTCTCCCCCATTCTTCATCATTCTAGAAATCTGTTGTGAGCAGCACCTTATCTGAATCTTCTCGTCTAGGTGATCGCTCCTCTGCCTTAGTTCGGATCAAATACCATCCACAAATCACTTATCCGTTATAGGGATCCTGCTCTGACGCCATTTGTATTGATCTCTTGAATCACGTAAGCCAAACCGCAAATGGAGTACTCACATAACCACACAAAGTGGTGAGCAGTGATCTTCCCCCATCCTATCCGATTTTGGATTTTGTAATGTTAGAATACGATCCCATCGGTAGGTTATATGCTTTATTTAATGAGGAGTTTACTAATGCAAGAAGAACCGAGAGTTTAGAGAAAAATGATTAACAATTGATATTCTTTTTCTGTAGTCTAATCTCTATGAAATTAGGACTGCACATAGGGCGGGGCGGGGCGGGGCGGAAATCATGTTCCCCATCCTCGCCCATCAGCTGAAAGCCTTCCCCGCCGCGTTCAAGGCGGGATGGGACAGGGCCAAGCCGGGGCTTTTTTTTTGCAGGAAACTAAACTAAGGCTGTCCTAAAACTCAAGAAATTAAGGATGATAGATCAAGTCTCATTGCGCTCAACTTTTCCAAAACACCCTTTTCAATGGTACAACGAAAGTTCTCCACGTCAGGATGTGCCACATTGTGACTGCTGCCTAACTGCAACACCCACAAAAAAATGGCTGCCATTGGCAAGAAAGGAAAGACCCTCGCGATCAGCCACAGGCAATTAACAAGTGAATGGGACTGTGTTAATGTCTGCTTTTAAGTGGTGAATGAGTCACCACTTCACAAAAGGAATTTCTAGTTGTAGGAAAGATATGGCCTCTTCCAACCCCTCCCTCCCTGCGTCACTTCCGTACGTCAGTAAGGTTCATTGGTTAAGAGCGTTGAAGGGAACCATGTTACCTGGATTTGGATTGGCATTCAAATCTCCACCTAGAGATTAACTTTTTTTTATATCCCTGTTTTGATAATTTGAAAAGAAAAAAAGAAAAAAAAGCATTATGTTTATTAAGGGTGCGTTTGTTTCGCGAAATATGAATGAGTTGAAAAAATATTTTCCAAAAAATGATCACTTATATTAACGCTTATAAAAATGAATAAACAAAAAATATTTTCATTGTGCATGAAAATGTTTACACATAAATTATTGTCGACAATGAAAATATTTTTAATCGATCAATTATTTCAAGCAATACAAACGACTTTTTGTGAAAAATGTTTCTAAATCATTTCATTTTCCAGAAAAATAAACGAAGTCTAAGACTAATGTCATTTTGATACATTAGCTTTGTATATCAATTTTAGTGTAACAAGACTCATGGACCCTCGTAGCCTAGTTTTCCATTGGTAAACTCATTAGATAGGCCAATACAGTAGCTCAGCCTCTGCTCATATCCCTGGTTGACACGCAGGTCTACGTGTATTTCTCAAGTGGGGTTGACTTTGGCATTTCTTGAAAGCTTTCATTTTCTCATTTATATGAATACCAAACTCGAAAACTTAGATTAAACATCGATAAAGAACTTTTGAACCACGTTACATTTTCATTAAGAGAAACCCAAGAGCGGATAAAATATGAGACGTGAGGAATTAGTCAAAGCGCTCTAACTAGGATATATATCGGCTTAAAATATTCAATTAAAGCATAACGGCACGATGTGAAATAAAATTTATTTCTTACTATTTACTCGTTTTTACTCAACCACACGATTACCCTATCCATATAATTATACCACCCACGATCTGAATTCTCTCGCCTTCTCTCTGATGTAAGCAAGCTTTTTGATCGCAGAAAGGAGGATGGTTTTCCACATTTCAGATCTCATCCACCATGTAATGATTGATGTTTTTCAAGTGCTCGCAGGCTCAGGTATGACCATGACATGCCCCATAGGAGCCAGGAAAATAGTTTATGAATTACTCTTTAGTTCATGCGCCACATAAAGGACAATGTAATGGTCACTACATAACATAAAATGTGTACATAATCTTGCATAAATATTATTCCAAAACTCTTCTCTGACGTACGATAATGGCAATCAGTGGGGCCACTTCAACCTTTCCTCAGCCTATAAAACCACGCTCTTGCAATTTGAGGGGTCTCTCATTTTTCTAAACACCAACTTGATCAAATTTGAACTTCATCCTCTCTAAACTCTTGATCTTAGGAAAAAAGAACAGATGGAGCCCAGTGGAGTGTCAGGATTGTATAACTATTGCCCTTCAAACCCATCTCCATACCCATCTCAAATGACAAGTTTGATGCAGGATCAATCTCCGGCATTCAACTTCACTAGACTCTCCAATTCACTGTACAACTTCCAATTCCATCCCCAAGTCCAAGAGCTCAACGGCATCGGCAACGCACAGGCCTCATGCCTCAGTAACAACTCGACCTCGGACGAGTCCGAGGAGCAGCAGCTGAGCATCATCAACGAGCGGAGGCAGAGGAGGATGATATCAAACCGGGAGTCGGCGCGGCGGTCCCGGATGAGGAAGCAGAAGCACCTCGACGAGCTGTGGTCGCAGGTCGTCTGGCTCCGGCACGAGAACCACCAGCTCGTAGACAAGCTCAACCAGGCCTCAGAGGACCACGACAGGGTCCTCCAGGAGAATGTCCAGCTCAAGGAGGAGGCCTCCGAGCTCCGCCAGATGCTCACCGACATGAGGCTGAGCAGCCCCATCTCGGTGCTGAGGGACCTCGATGAGGTCCCGTGCAACGCTGCTTATCTCAGAGCTGAACCGTCAAGCCACTCCATCGCGAGTTCCATGGACTTGCTAGGCTAGATACGGCCACAAGCATGTGAGATCATAAAAAATCGAAAAAAAAAACTTAGAGAGAAAGAACCGCTTCCGATCCTTCTTGTGGAAAGTGTTGTGCCTGTGTCTTCACCTACCTCTTCTGGAGCTCCATGTATGAGTCTTACTGAATTGACAATAACATTCGCTTGAGCATTATCATCTAATCCCCTTTTGCTCGAAGAGGAGGAATCTGGGCGTTTCAGGGTCAATAAGTTAAAGAGTTCTTTTTTCCTGTCCTGTTGTCTCGTCATGCAGATCTAAAGAATTATGTCCTAGTTCGTGTATAAAGTATGCACCGCACCAAAATTCACAGAGTTTCCAATCAAAGTTTGACACCTACCACCTTTGCGTTTCAACCGCAACTAAGCCCACGATGAATGGTTCCTCGAAGGAATATAGACGCGGCCCCCCGAAATAATTTTAATGGCGAGTCAAGTTACAAGAGATATCTTGTTAAATTATAAGTATTCCACGACTCTTTTGTATTGCCTTTATGGTATATAGAAGTTCCTGAACTTTAAATCCTGAAACTTTGGTTGTTCTTCCCAGTACTGGAATGTACTCAATCCGTGGATCATTTTCATCCAGGACAATGGTTAGATTTTGGGGCTACTTCAAAATTTCTTAGCTAAGTGCTCTTGAACAACCCACTTGAAACTACCTTAAAAATGAACTACTGCCCTATCTTCTTTGACTTTTAAAGGAGTGTGGTTGACTTAAATTTCGTTTATTTTTTTTTTCTGGAAAGTCAAATAATTAGTGTTGTGTTGACCAAGGTAGCTCAAAAAATGTGAGTTGAACTTCATAAATGGAAAAAAAAAGCTTCATAAATGAGGCAATTCTAATATTGCTCGATGAGTTCATGGTCAATTTTTCACTCTTGAGGATGGTTGCCTCGTTTTGGCGACTTCTCAATCTCAGAAGCACCCATGAAAATAGAGGTTACAAAGATACAAGGGAGATATCCTCGGTCAAAGTTTGGTCAATATTTCATAGCCAAGAGATTGTGTTTTGGGTTATAAATTGCAGAAATTTGAGTAAATAATGTCTGTTTGAATTGATTTCAACTTTTTTACTTTTCTCAAAACTCGTGGTGCACAACACACTTTTGACTCTTTTTAGTCTTAACCATATGAGACATTCAACAATATATAAATGTTGACATATATATTGAATTATAATCTTTTTAAATATGAATAGTATATCAAATATCGATGAATAAAAATGTTGCTTCTTCACTTGTGAGAAGTCCAAATAAACAAGCCTTTAGTTGTTGTGCTGTGCTTAAATTAGAGAAATTTCCATGAACACTTATATTTGAGAATGTTGGGTACTTGGAGTGGAGTTGGACTGCGGTGCATTTAGAGGTGTAATTGAGCCGAGTCGAGTCGATATAGCACCAAGCTCGAGCTCTGCTCAAAACTTGAGTTGAACTTGATTAAGTATCGACATTTTTGTTTGAGCTTGACTCGAATGAAAAACCATAATACTCAAGCTCGATTCGATTAAGACCTATTTATAAAGAAAATAAGCTCAATCTTAGAAAGCTTGAATAATTGATTTATTATTTAATTTTGAGGATTTCTGAGCTTTTTTTTTTTCAAAGTATTAATCATTCTTTGGAAAAAATAATATAAGCTCGATAAGGCTCAATTAGACTCATAAACTTGTTGAGCTGATTATTTTCAAGCTTGAGCTAAACCTGACACGATACTCGAGTAGCTCGAGCTCATGTCAAACACAAACATGCTGATTTCAACAATCAACCATTTTACCTATAAGTGCATACTTGAACTAATTTGTGTTGAGTCTTGCGGTGCTATTTTTGACATTGCCTTGTAGTGTGTCAAAAGGATTTGATTCGACCAGGGAAAGCTTGACTCAGAATTGGTTGATCCTTGATTTGTAATTTATGATTTGATTTGACTAGGGATTTAAGCGATACGTATCTATTAGGATCAACAATCTCTTGAATCGCAAACGAATCTATTGATTCGTTAACAAATCTACAACTTAATATGTGACGCCTCAAAATGTCATGTACGACAAAAGAACTAATATTAAAACTATTTATTGTTACTATTAAGCATGCGGAGCACAAAAAAGACATTGCATGAGAAATGTGAGTTTGACAAATACATTCTAGCTTTATCTTCCCTCTTCCAAGCAGTAATATTAGTACAAAATGGAATAGAATACAACGCATTAACTTTGGGAAGAAGGTCAGATCTGCGTCAATACTATCCCATGCTCATGCACCCAAAAAGTTGCCTATACAAAGTCATGCTACTACACTACGGATTGATAACCTCGCCAATCGACATGCCGTTACCATCGAAACTAGGGAGACCAACTCGCCATCGATGTTGAAGTACTAGATAACAAATCAATGAGGGATCCACCCCAAAATCCCCACATCGATCCATACCACAGAACTACACTTAGTATATATTACCGCTAATTCAGGTACAAGCACATCTTGATATTTGCAGTCAAAATATACAGGAACTCCAAACCGCAGTGGTAAAGGTTGATCCATCCTACAAATCTAAAAAATAAGGAGTGAGTCAAAGTTTAGTGTATGAAATCTTCAAGTCTAAGGTAGAAAATCATCTTACTCTACAAAATAATGTTAAATCAAGACGAGTACAAAATAGCTATGAGAGGCAATTGAACGAATAAATGCACTATTCTTCCTATCATAATATGCCAATGAAAATCGATGAATAATGTTGCATAAGATTATTCACTTCATTGCAAGAGGATGACATAACAAATTGTGATGCACATCTACCACCAATTAGTTTATTAATAGAAATGTGTGAGTATATGTGTTTATATATACATGCACATATTATATTTGTTACTTCATCTCATACCGAACACTCCCAAGGCATTCTGATACACATGGCATCTCCACTCCGAGACGTCATCCCGAACACTCCCAGGGCATCGTCAACACTAATATATGGGCAACAAAAACATAACATAATACTTTTCATATATAATCATATATTAGCGAGGCACATGATAACATTATAATCATACGATCTCCCTTGCATCGACAACATAATCAACACTCTTTTTCAAGAATCGACATCCGGTACGCAACATCTTTTCATGCAAATCATTTTCGAAATACAATTACCTTGCCCTTTCAATCATTTTCGAAATACAATTACCTTGCCCTTTCAATGATCATGTATGCGAATAATGATAATAACATGCTAACCTCCTTTCATTTCTCATGCAAGCAATGATAAGATATGTTAGATATAAGTAAAATTTGTATGGAAATCAACAAGTTATTAAGTAGATAACACAAAAAAGTTCACAATATATCAATCAACCACTTGGACATCAACTACTTGGGTCACAATAAGCAAGTCAACTCGAAAATCGAAATCTTTAAAATTGACAACGTTGGGATTGACACTTGAAAATTGACATCTCGAAAATTTGACAATTTATGAATATCGATAAGTTGGTTAGGACATTGATTTTGCTTGAAAGATGCTTAAAATCGGTGAAGTGGTCATAATCTATAGAATAACTAGACTTGGTGAAAAGGTTACAATCGATAGTTTAATTAGAGATTGGTAACTTGTTTGAAATAACTTTAATAATGAAAATCAGTACGGTAATTAGTCAGCCAATACCTAATACAAAATTATGTGAATATCATTTCCAAGTCCAAATTCCATGTTCTTACACTTCTCTCATCCAATATACAACAAAACCTTTTAAGGAGTCGATCACACGGTTTCTACACCTGAAGCTACTTGTCAATTTAAGTCAAACAACACAATATTTAAACATGTCATTATCGAAGCATGATCACTCTCAAGATTAGCATTCAAACCAAGTTAACAAGCACCAACCAACCAAGTCAAAAGTACTAAGTAGATAAATCTAACTTAACCTTTTGAGTTTTACTTACCTTGAAAAAGACTAGAACAACTCAAAACTTTAGTCACTTTCAAGTAAAATAAACAAGTACATGAAATTAACAATTCTTGGTCTTTAAAAAGACAAAACCCATTAGTAAAAATGTAGTAAAGTCCAATAATTAACTTTGCCAACACCTGAAAGATTTAGAAAGAAGCTATAATAATACGAGTTTGGGATCTTCATTTTTCCTCGCAAGATTGGAAAACGAAAATCAAGAGGAAAGTTGAAGATTAGAAGTGAGTGATGTAAGGACTCCTATCTTTGAAGCTTGAAGACTTGAAAATATTTGAGAATAGAATTACCTGACCAAGAGGAATATATTTGAAGGCTACTCAAGAGTTACCCAAAGATAATAACAACTAACTAAAGTTAAAGTAAGGGATAAGTGCACTAGAAGTCCTAAAACTTGTCATAAAAGTGCAATTGCGTTCTAAAACTTGCAAAAAATGTAATTCAGTCCTAAAACTTGTCAAATTGATTTAATCGAGTCCTAAAATTAACATTGTCAAACTTACTAATGAAAAATGCTGATGTGGCGCTTTTTAATCACTTCTCTCTCCTACGTGGCAAATGGTTTAAGAAAAAATATCCACGACTGCAAAATGACGTCGTTTTGGACGTCCCTCTTTCTTCTTGAACGTCGTCTCTTTCCTTTCCCGTGAGCATCGTCTCCTTCCTTTCCCTTGAGATTGTCTCCTCCCTTCTTCCATCTCTGAATTGTAAGCTCCAAATTCAACTTCTATCGAAACATCTCTTATTTTACCCAAGTCGAAGTCGTCTAAACCTTATGCCCAAACTCATCATCGTCTTTCTCTCCCTTTAAACGAAATTAACACTCGGTCTCCCTTTGAACCCTAAGCCCCAAATCAAGTTCGACGATCTGGATTTCCCTTGTAATTTGGGTCTCCTTGCGAGTTGGAGTTCAACGGCCATCATCATTTGGAGTTCAATCACGTTCTGGAGTTCATAGAGTTCGGGTTTGAGTTCGAGTTCTCTCTTCATTGATCGCGAGTTCGTGTGAAGACCTGTCCTGCGGGAGTCTCAGCGGTGGATCAAGCGGTTTTGACTATGGAGATGGCGACAGCGACGGTGACTCCTCCTCGCGCAAGTATCGCTCTCTGCATTATAGAATTTGGGTATCGAGCGGCATGTGTTTCCATTCCAATTCGGTCAGGGCCTATGTGTTTGGAGCGATTCGATATGCATTGCGTTT